CGCGCACGCCATCGGGCCTGGGAGCAAACGCTTCTAAGCAGCACACGTTATCTCTTTCTCGTGGTGTTTCGTGAGAGCCTCCAAGCAACAAACAAGCAGCAGCAACCACCTGTGGCCTTGAGAGATATAGTCGTTTTGGCAGCTAAGCAATTAAGCACATCAACAGGTCTACAGTTGAAAGTGAAAGCACACAAGCGCATACAGAAGGAAGAAAACAAAACATTGGCAACTTGCTGACATACTGCCCCCTTGAAAATTAACTTCCCACCAAAACCACCAGTCTCCTGGTTTCCCCGGGAACTCCCAGTGGAATTTCCAAAGCAACTGAGGGGCCCGAATACCCCCATTCGAGGTGCTGGGGTCCAAAGTCTTTCCATTTCACCAAATAAAATAGTTTTCCACGCTTCCTTTTAGAGTCCAATATCTGAGCAATCTCATAATGTTCGTCCCCCTCGATCAAGATGGGAGGGGGAGTTGGTTTGGCCTCCCGCCACTGGCAAGACCCTGTGTCTTTTTTCAGAAGGCTGAAATGAAATACAGAATGCAAAGATCTCAAATTTTTCGGCAATTCAACATCAACAGCAACATCATTCATTATTTTACGCACTTTAAAAGGCCCGATAAATTTCCACCCCAGTTTCCTGCTAGGACGCAACATCTTAATGTTCTTAGTGGAAATATACACAAAGTCTCCAGGCTGCAGAGCCCAACCCTCCACCCTTCTCTTGTCAGCCTGAGCCTTATACGCATCCTTAGCTGCGTCCAAAGTCTTTTTTAAGAGAGGCCAGGAATCCTTCAACTGTTTTCACGACACCCCGGCATCTCCAGGCCCCAATCCAGTTTCCCCTTCCAGGAAAGGCAGTGGCAGGCTGTCATAACTGTAAAGGGCTTTGAAGAGAGACAGCCCGGTTGAGGTGTGGCATGTATTGTTGTAGCAATACTCGGCAACGGGCAATTAGTCATGCCAATCATCTTGTTGATAGTTCGTGAAGCACCGGAGATATTGTTCCAAAGTCTGATTAACCCTCTTCGTTTGTCTGCCAGTTTCAGGGTGATAAGCACTGCTCAAACCGTGTGTGCATAAAGGAAAGCGACGAGCTGAAAACCGCTTTCAACACACCCCTGAGCCAATTTGAGTACCTGGTGATGCCGTTCGGGCTTCAAGGGGCTCCGGGGGTGTTCATGAACATTCAGTTGAAAGTGAAAGCATGCAAGTGCATACAGAAGGAAGAAAACAAAACATTGGCAGCTTGCTGACACTGACCTACCTTAGCTTCTGAGATCTAACAAGATTGGGCTGGCTTGGACCATCCAGATCATACTTAGCAACTAAACTGGAGCTTCTTCTGTGCAGTTTTCATGAACTCAGTACTTTTACCCTGCAGGGTGAAAACCTATTGGGTGATGTATATTTCCTCTTCTGTGGAGCAAAGAGCAACTCTGGGGCAGGCCCGTAGCCAGGATTTTTAAAGTCAAGGGGCATCTAAATTTCTTAGGGGGCACTGACTAATTGAATTCCAGGAATACCTGGCTCCTTCCCCACACCTGCTGCCACTCGGAGGCCCTGTGCTGGATGGGAAGTGGTGGAGCCTTGCTAGTAATTCAGGGGGCCTAGCCCCAAGATGCCCCACTGTAGCTACAGGCCTGCTCTGGGGAGAGAGAGGGACAGTTGAAATTATGCAAACAGCAAAGGGGGAGGATTATATCCTTTCAGGATTTTCTCACAGCTATTATTTAAAGTTTTTAAAAAGTGAACGCTCTGTTTCAAGATCTCCCACTGTCCTGTCTAGTTTGGTCCTACCCTGGTTTCACCAAAATGCCCATTCTTTCCAGGAAGAATGTGGGTATTAGGCACCTAGAAATCTGAGTCAACTGATTAGGGGGTCTCAAGTGTTCACAGGTGCTCAACCCTTTGGCAATACACTGGCAGATCACAGGTCTTTCTTTCTGGATTAAGCACAGCAATTCAGATTACTGCTAAAATGGAATTTAACATGCATTCTGAAAACCAATAACTAGAATTTTAGAAAAGTTGTTGGATTTTTTTCATGTAAATCAAAATCCTCACTGCCCCTCAACCCCAATCCATGTCAGCTTTTATCTATCTATCTATCTATTTATCTATCTATCTATCTATCTATCTATCTATCTATCTATCTATCTATCATCTATCTAGGCTGTATTCCGCCTTCCCTGCAAGCGGGCTCAGAGTGGATCACAACAATTAGTCCACAGTAGGAATTAAAACATTTCAGGATAAATAGTTAAAACAGTTAAAAACAAAAACTATGTGCTAAGGACAGATAGCACTGCAGTTCAATACAATAGTTTCAAGAACTGGAGCCACTAGGCTGTAAGCCAGACTGTAGGACTTCACCTGATGGGCCGTACAAAGATGGAAGCTTCACCAAATATTTATTTAAAACATTTTAATGCCACCTTTCAAACCAGTCAGGGTCCACAAGGCAGCGAACATAAAGACATTAAAACAACTTAAATATGGTTAAAATTATAAAAAAAATCTATTAAAAACACATAAACACACAATACTAGAAGGAGGGCCAATACCCTGGCTGTGGTCACACAACACTAAATAACGCACTTTCAATTCACTTTCAATGCATTTTCCAAATGGATTTTGCCAGTTTGTCACAGTAAAATCCACAGTAAAATCCAGTTGGAAAGTGCACTGAAAGTTGATTAGTTAGTGTGTGTGACCACAGCCCCTTATTAGGGGTATGCCAGACAAAGCAAAAATGTCTTCACCTGCTAGCGAAAGACATCAACACAGGAAGACAGATGAATTGCTCTGGGGAGGGAGTTTCAAAGCTTTGGTGCCACAACAAAGAAGGCCCTTTCTAGCCTCAAATGGCAGGGGCAACTGAAGCAGGGCCTCCAAGGTAGGTTTGTATGAGAGAAGGCCGTCCCTAAGGTATGTTGGTTCCAGACTGCACAGGACTTTAAATGGCCCTACGACCCACTCCAGTCAACACTCTGGCTGCAGCATTCTGTATCAACTGTAGCTTCCAGCCCCATGTAGAGCGCATTGCAGTAATCTAATCTATATGTAACCAGGTGGCAATATCTTTTCTGCCCAAGAAAGGCTGCCTGAAATCCTGGAAAGCTGCTGCCATTCTGAGTAGACACTTTTTGTTGTTGTTGTTGTCCAGTCGCACAGTTGAGTCTGACTCTTTGCGACCCCATGGATCACATCACGCCAGACCGTCCTGTCTTCTGTCGTGCTCTGGAGTTTGCTTAATTTCATGTTCGTTTCCTCAATAACACTGTCTAACCATCTCATCCTTTCCTGTCCCCTTCCTTCTTTGACCTTCAATCTTTCCCAACAGCAGTATCTTCTCCAATGAGTGCTCCTGTCTCATTTGGTGGCCAAAGTATTTGAGCTTCAGCTTCGGCATCTGGCCTTCCAGGGAACAGTCAGGGTTGATTTCTTTTAGGATTGACTGATCTGATCTCCTTGCAGTACAAGGGACTCTCAAGAGTCTTCTCCAGCACCATAATTCAAAAGAATCTATTCTTCGGCGCTCAACCTTCCTTATAGTCCAACTCTTGCAGCCATACATGACTACTGGGAATACCATTGCTTTGACCATATTGACAGGGTGATGACTCTACATTTTATTATGCTGTCTAGACAATACTGACCTCAATCAATGATCTGATTCAGGATAAGGTGGCTTCATGTGTTCATTCAATCACCTTGCTCAAGAGTGCTACATTTGAGACTGGATGGTAGTTATTTAGCTCTCCTGGGTCCAGAGTAGGTCTCTTTAGGAGTGGACTGCCCACTTCAAGGCAGGAATGACCACCCTGTCTTTCAGGGAGGTATTTACTGTCTCCCAACCCTACTCCACTAGCTCCTCCTACAGCAGATTTAGGTGGCCAGGAGAAGCAAGGATCATACAAACAGGTGGTATATTTCAAATTTCCAAGAATCTTGTCCACATCTTCAGACTATACAAGCTCAAAGGTATACCGCACAACTGGACAAACTGGTGCCCTGGGACCATCTGTTTCTGTTGCTACTGATGTAGGGTCCAAATTGGAATGGATGCAAGATATTTTATCCACAAAATGCTTAGCTAAATGATTGCAGCAAACTGCAGCAGTTCTTCTCTATTCCTCATTAGCAAGAAGGGTTTAATATGTTATTAATATATCTGCCAACATAACCCTATTTGTGGATACTTAAATCCAGAGACTGGAGCTGGGAACAGACAAGACAGATCTTTCTACAAACCTGAGAAAAGCCCAGGCTTGCAGAAACATCTGAATTTAAACACACACACACACCAAAAAAACCACAAAAAACTATGGGGGATTATGAACCTCCAAAATACTAGAAGCAGCATCTGTGCCTTTAAGAAAAGAATGCCTCCAGTGGCCATTGAGGGGGTTGCTAGGCAACCACAACAATATTGCCAGCATTCAACATTGGTTTCTGCCAGTAAAAGGTGAGGGAGGGCCCTTTCCAGAGCTGTTTTGATTTCCTAGTCTGCTCCTTCCCCTTTGCCCTGGAGGGAGAACTCATTGCACCAGGCCTGGCAGCAACCAACAGGTGACTCACTACCACATGACTTACATGACACCAAGACCCAGTGATAACCTTCGGGTGACTCACTCCTATTTGTCAGCAGCCATCACATGAAAACCAGTGTGATGCAGTTGTAAAAATATCAGACTAGGATTTGGGAGACCCAGCTCTGAAGACCCACTTTGTCATGACTGACTGACTTGGGCCAGTCAGTCATTCTCAGCACTCTATCTTCCTCGGAGAATTGTCGTAAGGACAAAGTGGAGGCAAGGAGAATGTCGTAAGTTGCTTTGGGTCTCCACTGGGGAGAAAGGTAGGTTAGCAATGAAAAATAATAAATAGAGCTGAATGTGGGGGCACATAAAAGGTAGGTCAGTTGTTGGGTGGGCAGGAGAGAAGAACCAGTGATGATATTGGGGTTGCCAAAGGGAGGGAATGACTGACTTGGGCCAGTCAGTCATTCTCAGCACTCTATCTTCCTCGGAGAATTGTCGTAAGGACAAAGTGGAGGCAAGGAGAATGTCGTAAGTTGCTTTGGGTCTCCACTGGGGAGAAAGGTAGGTTAGCAATGAAAAATAATAAATAGAGCTGAATGTGGGGGCACATAAAAGGTAGGTCAGTTGTTGGGTGGGCAGGAGAGAAGAACCAGTGATGATATTGGGGTTGCCAAAGGGAGGGAAAGAGAAAGAGGAAATAGTGGGGAAGGGGAATACTGGGGCAAGTAAGGTGACTTGCACCACACAACTGGGCCTGCAGCCAGCACTACATAAATGGTTATCATTTTACAGGGAGAGGCTGCCAGGGGGACGGAAGTGGGGAAAGCTGAAGACAAGGGGGGGAAGATAAAGGTAGGTTGGCTGATAAGTGAGAAGGAAAGAAGGAAGCTAGAAAAAGGGAAGAAGCTAAGAGGGCTTTCAAGGAAGGGAAAGGGAAAATAGTGGAGGAGGGGGAAATGAGATGCCCCTTGCAAGTCCTTGCAGGTCCCTCATTTGTACAGATAGTTTCCTAAGAATAGTTGAGGGTTAAGACAGCTGAACTATAATTCGTGGTATTCAAATTTCAGAAACTATTGCAGCTACAAGAAACATATGCCTTATTAAGGTTTCAGCATTCATCCTCACGGGACCGAGGTTGCATACAAATATAACATTAAAGCAGAGGTTGCTGTGGATTGTTCTAGTTCTTGCTTCCCCTTCCCTTTGCAGTGTAAATGACCTTCATACACACCAGCAATTCCAGTGGTGATTCAGTCTTCAAACTTACCTTTCTTCACAAGTTTCAAGGCAGGCTGCTTGTCTTTTATATTTAAGTACTATATGCAGAGGGTTTCACATTACTTCTACCCCCAGCTTGAACAAAGGCTTGAAACTTCTCACCCATTAAAGGTTTCGTTTTTTAAAGGTTTTATTTTAAGGACGGCTTAGCTTAAGCAGTGAATGGTCTCTCTGTTCTTCTTGATTAGATCTGAATTTTGCACAGTTAAATTTCACTTTGTACTTCCTGCATTTATCACCCCTTGATCATGCTTATGTCTATTTCAAACCCTTGCATAAAATGCAGAACTAGGATCTGTTCAGTGAATCTGAAAAAGTGGGCTGTAGTCTGTGAAAGTTAAAAGTTTTTAAAGTGGTTGATATGTACAGTGCATGCATGCACCCACATACATGAGCATATTTATTTATTTATTTTCCAGGTGGAAAGCCGGGGGGGGGTCCCCTTTGATTACCAAAAAGACTGCGCTGGGGATCATGGGAACTGCATGAATAAAAGCCATCTTCGATGGGGCCCATAGTAAGAACGTACTTTGCATAAACAGCTAAGATGGAGAATAAACATTCTGTGGAGTATATTGCTAACAATGCTTTGTTCAGAACCCTTCCAGGTAAGCCAAATCAAGACCCAGACTATTTATTTATTTATTTATTATTTCTATTTATATCCCGCATTGCCGGACATGCTGGCTCAAGGCGGCTAACAGGGTTAAAATAATGTAAACAATACAGAGATAAAACAGTTAAAAATACAAGACCGGTTAAAACAGCAACAGTTACAGATAAAACCAACAGATGATGGGGATAATCCAAATCACACCCAATGATGGGAGTAGCATCCAGCAATGTTCAGAAGATGTTCCAGGGCACATTAGTCAGTGGCAGCTCCTAATCGAAAGCCTGGTGGAAGAGCTCCGTCTCACAGGCCCTGCGGAACTGTAAAAGGTCCCGCAGGGCCCTGATGTCCTCCGGGAGCTCATTCCACCAGTATGGGGCCGCCACTGAGAAAGCCCTGGCTCTGGTGATATTCAGCCTGGCTTCTTTCGGTCCAGGGAGGGTCAACCAGTGTTGCGACCCTGACCTCAGTGCTTTCTGGGGCACATGTGGGGAAAGGCGGTCCCTCAAGTAGGGACCAGCCTCCAGGTGGTGGCTGGAGATCTCCCAGAATTACAACTGATCTGCAGGCTACAGAGATCAGTTTTCCAGGAGAAAATGGCTGCTTTGGAAAATGGACTCTATGGCATTATACCCTGCTGTGGTCCCTCCCTTACCCAAAACCAGCCCTCCCCAGGGACCCACCCCCCAAATCACCAGGAATTCCACAACCCGGAGCTGGTAACCCTAACTTTGGATCCTATTGATCCAGCCAACTACTGCCCAGTATTGAACCTCCCGTTTCTGAGTAAGGTAGTGGTAGCTGAACAGCTCCAGGCCAGGGCCGTAGCTAACCTCTTCCTTGTGGGGGGGGCCCTGGGGAAAGTGGGGAGGCCAAACGGTGGGTGCGCGCGCCGCACACACACATCACCCCAATAAAGCTTCGCTCGGCGGCAGCTTCCAGCCTTTATCTAGCCACGTTGCTGCTGCGAACAAGCCCCACAGAGAGAGAGAGAGACGCCTGACTGCTTCCCCCGCCCCTTCTTTCCGCTCCTT